TTCTTTTTCTTTTTCTTTTTCTTTTTCTTTTTCTTTTTCTTTTTCTTTTTCTTTTTCTTTTTCTTTTTCTTTTTCTTTTTCTTTTTCTTTTCCTGGGGGTTTTGGGAGGCGGGCGGATGGCGGGACCTGGGACCCCGCGGGCAGCCGCTCGCCAGCGGACACCGCCGCCAGCCGCACCGCAGCCACGTAGACCCAGCGCGCGCCCGCGCAGCGCCGCGGAGCCCCGGCTGCCCCGGGACGTTGCAGCCTGCCCGCGGGTTGGTGCCAGTCGCCCGGGGGCCGGCACGTCCTGTCCCCCCGGGAGAGGCTGCCCGAGTGGCTCTGGCTCTGGTCCCCGCTCCCTGCCCCCTGCCCGGCTCGGGGACCCCCTCGGAGGCGACCCCGGGCTCGTCCTGTCCGCGCAGACACTGGTAGCCCCGGTGGCACCAGCCGCTGGGCGCCCTTCCCTCGCTTCGCCTCTTCTGGGCCATCACCTGTGACCACATGGCTTTTCCCTTCCACTTTGCTTCTCCTTTCCTTTCTTTCCCTTCTTCCTTCCCCCTTTTCTTCCCCTTTCCTTCCCTATCTCTTTCCCCTTCTTTTTCTTCTTTCTTTTCTGCTTTCCTTCTCCTTCCCATTTCCCTTCCTTTCCCCCCTTCTCGTTCCCTCTCTCTTGATCCCCAGCACTGCTACAGGGCAGGAATTTGCTGCCCCTGCCTACCCTGAAGTGCAAAATGCACAGAGGCACCCAGACATCCAGCCTGGGAGGAGATCTCAGGCTGAAGGTCTGAGGTGACCTCATGGCATKTAACGGGACAGAGGTGCCTTCCCCGTGTCATTCCCACGGTGCACTGTGGTGAGGATGATGAAGGCTTTTAGGATGTTTGACTTTATCTGAAACTCAGAGGGGTCTGCTAATGTCACCTGGGGGGCTGTCAGAGCACAGATCTTCTCCAGGAGTCATCTTCTGAATCTCTGTCGGACAACTAGATGGAGAACCAAATACAAGTCACCCCAGCTGCACCTCCCAGGGCAATGAGGCTTTCCCATCCCTGGGCTGTGCTCACGCCCAAGGGAGAATTTCAGAGCTACCTTCTACTGAATGGGGGGGTTTGTAGTGAATAGGACCATATTTCTAGGGCACATGTGTCCCACTCCACAGGRACAAAAGGGTCACTACTCAGAGGTGGTGTCTGAAAAGATTACTTTATTAGTAGTAGTATTAATTTCAGACTACATATTTTCATAATTGCACCATTTGAAGAAAGATCTATTTGCATAATTGAGATTTCTTATTTAAAATGCAAAGTAAAATATTCTCATAGTATAGTTATCTTCCATTGCAAATTAAAAAAGAAAAAAGGTATAGAAAAGTATTCACTTAAAAATCATCTTAACTTTTTTTCAGAGCAGRCCATTCAGTGATAGGCACCTGGAATAAGTGTTTCTGAGGGAAAACAGTGCATTGGTGGAACAATGACAAAAATCTGTCAGAAGAAACTGTGTATATGGTATCCGCRCTGTGAAGACACAGACATCTGATAAATGCATCTGTTTATATATATCTGCATGCCAGAGAGTGGACCGGAGAAGGCGTTACAGAAAGCAGTGGTTGGTTTGGCTCGGAGGTATTGCTCGCATTGTGCTATCTCTGCGAGGAAGGTTATTTATGTGCAGCTCTGAGCCGGGCTGTATACACAAAAAGCAGCTCCTGTCCGGATGGGGCAGACAAGGCTGGCAGGCGRGATGGGATATTCATGTTATGCCTGTATGAGGGTAGGGCACTGAAACGTATTGAAATTAATGTCTTGGTTACCCCGTTAACATGGAGCAAACAGGAGTCGTAGTATTTTAACCGAAAKATCTTCCTAACTAAACCTCTTCTACAGATATTGGATGAAGTGAGTTCAATGCATTTTTCCTTTGCACAGATTTTATGTCAGTACAAAGCCACTAATTTCCTTACAATAACATGAAGAGATGAAGCCGAGACAGGGGTTCTGTGTCTGTAATACTGCAGGAATTTATTTTTTCTTTACTATTGAAAACTGCTGAAAACCCATTTTTTAGCATATGCATATGCCTGTGTGAACCATAACAAAACAAACTGTTACACAGATGTCTTAGCTGCACTAGAAATAAATGATGGAAATAAGAGCAAACCTGTTACTTCTTAATAACAAAAAACAAAGTACCTGCTTCTCTTTCCACCACTATGGCAAATCTTTAGGTTAAGGTTGCTGAAAGCCCTACATATTGTTACTCTGTGGAAACTAAAGACACTGCTGGAAATTTCCCATTGTTCTATTAAGAGCTGAAAAAAAACCAACTTGAGAACTGATTTAATTTTTCTGTAGAGATCATAAAAGTTTTAAGGACGAGTGTTTAGGAGCTGATTGAGATAAAACATTTTTGGATGAAGAAAGAAAAAGGAGAATGGTGACAGAAAAAAGGCAGAAAAAGAAAAATGACCAATTCAGACCTAAATAAAGTGTGTCTTTACATTGCAAGGTTGCCTCTTTTAAAGCAAGCTAAAAAGCTGCTTGACACTATGCAGTATAGTCTCATTTTTTGTTTATATGTGTCAGCATGATGTATAGAACTCTTAGGGTGTCAGGCGCTCTAAACTGTAATTTCTAAGTTACCTTTGAAATATTTGCAGTGTGACTGGTCATGCAACGGGCAGTCGTTTCTTTGGTCTTAGTAAAAGATGAGCTTGTGTTGCTGCTGAAGCCAGTCCCTTTGGAAGTCATTTCCGTAACAGGAAATGTACAGAGCTTTTTTTAGGCTTTGTTTTGGGTTTTGTTTTTGGGGGTACAGCTGTTCTTTGGGATGTGGTTGCCTCATCCTGTATGATGTTGAATGCCCTTAACCATCCTTGGCCCCGCAGGAGCTCCTTGCAGGATGGGGCCCTGGTGATGAAATGCAGTTTTGAGAATGCATTCCCTTTTCTTCATCCTAAAATAATTAAGGTTTGTATGAATTTGTATGTTTCTGGGACAAGAGTGATCATTAAGTTTTCCCATTGGGATTCAACACCAGACCTGACCTTCCTGCATATCTCATGATGTGTATCAAGTAGGCAAGGAACAAGACCTTAATTTAGATAAAAATCAGAGTGAAGAGATTTCCACAGATCTCCAACTGGGAAGTGCAAGTCTGTCAGGGTCCAAAAAGATTTATTTGGGTGCCCAGCCTGTGTTGGAGCTCAGAATACCCACATCACTTAAGCTATCTAGCTTGAAGCTAGCCTGAGCTATTGGGTTTATTAGAAGCACTACGAGAGAGTGCCAAGGGCTGTTCTTTAGCCTGGGGGCTCAGGAGTAACCGTTTGACCACATCCTTGTGGCTCCTTCCCAAAGAGGGTGGCAGCATGTACCCTGCCCCAGGGGATGGCTGCTGGTCCCTGCAGCTCCTGTGCCCGTGTGGGTTTTGCCCAGGATGGTGCAG